CCTCTCCACCCATGGTACACAGCCCCTGCTGCCAATGGGCCCTCTGGGTGCTTGTCGCCCACGCAGGCATTGCCACCTGACAGCACATGGCTCTGGCCAGAGTTGCACATGGCAGCAAGGCGCATAGCAAGGCCAGCCTGCCTCTATTGTGCGAGGCTCACCATGGCACGTGTGCAGTTCCCAGGGATGTGCGATGGAACTGGCTCTCACGTGCAGCTGCCAGGACTCCGCCAGAAATGGCAGGGAGCCCTGTCTCCTGCATCTATGGCAGCAAGGAGCGGGGAAGGCAGTCAGCTTCAATGCATGGGGCTTCCCCTGGTGGCGCAAAAGTGCTGGAAGCTGCACATGCACTGCAGGAAGCTCTGTGTGATACAGGTGGGCCAGCCTGGCTGCGCTCTTTGCCACCATGTGCAGCTCTGGTGAGAGCTGCGTGCTGCCGGGCAGCAGTGCCTGCGTGGGCCACAAGAACCCCGAGGGCCTCTGTCTGCTGCTGTCGCCAGCGGTGGGAGCTGTGTGCTATGGGGGCAAGTGTGTGGGGATGTCCCCTCACCCACACCCTGCCCAACTGAGTTCCTTGCTCTTGCCACCCCCCTAGGCACAGTCTCCACCCTTGTGCTGGCTCCAGCCTCACGCTGTCTACCCCCACTCAGCTGCATATCCTCTTCTCCCCGCCCCCACTGCAGCTCCTCCCAGCCCCACCACTTCCCTTCCTGGTTCCTGGAGCAATTGCTGCAGGAGGGAGGTGAGAAGGAGCCACTGGATGCCAGCAAAGCCAAACAGGGCCCCCGGTGGCTGCAGCAGTGGCAGCAGCAGCCCCACCTGGAAGCTGCCTGCTGGCTGGGCTACGGCCCTTCTGTGCGCAAGGGTGTGAGCAAAGTGCATGGGCTGGGTGGGGTACAGTTAATTGGCGGGAACCCGCAGGCCGGGTGAAATTGCCTGATGGGCTGGACCTGGCTCACGGGCTATATTCTGTGTGCCCCTGATCTAGCTCCATCCTCTTCGTAACCACCCTTCAGGTAGTTAAAGGCTGCTACCAAATCTCTTCTCAGTCTTCTCTTCTGCAGGCTAATTAAATCCATTCCCTCAGCCTCTCCTCAGAAGTCATATGTCCCAGCCCCCCCCCGAACCATTTTTGTTGCTCTCCACTGGACTCTCTCCAACTTGTCCACATTCTTTCTATAGTGGGAGTCCAAAACTGAACATGGTACTCCAGATGTGGCCTCACCAGTGCAGAATAACTAATTCCCTCAATCTGCTGGCAAAACTTCTAATAATGCAGCCCAGTATGCCATTAGCCTTGGCAACAAGGACACGCTGCTCTCATTCATCGTATTGTCCACTGTAACCCCCAGGGACTTTTCTGCAGAGCTGCTGCTTAGCTAGTCAGTTCCGAGGCTGTAGTGGTGCATGGATTTCTTCCATCCTAAGTGCAGGACTTTGCACTTGTCCTTGTTGAACCTCATGAGATTTCTTTTGGCCCAATCCTCCCATTTGTCTAGGTCGCTCTGAATCCTATCCCAGCTCTCCAATGTATCTATTACAGCTTGGTGTCATCCACGAGTTTCCTGAGGGTGCACTCCATCCCATCTTCCAGATCATTAACAAAGATATTGAAAAAAAAATGGGCCCAGGACTGACCTCTGGGGCACTCCACCAGCTGCCAACTAGGCATTGAGCCATTGATTACTACCCATTGAGTCTGACAATCCAGCCAGCTTTTTATCCACCTTACAGTCCATTCATCCAACCCATACTTACTTAGCTTGCTTGCAAGAATGCTGTGGGATACGGTATCAAAAGCTTTGCTAAAGTCAAGGTATATTATATTCCCTGTTTTCCCTGCATCCACATAGCCGGTCATCTCATGATAGAAGGCAATCAGGTTGGTCAGGCATGATGTGCCCTTAGTGAATCCATGCTGACACTTCCTAAATGCCGCCTTCTCCTCCAAGTGCTGAGAAGTGGATTCTTTGAGGACCTGCTGCATGATTTTTCTGGGGACTGAAGTGAGGCTGACTGATCTGTAGCTCCCCAGTTCCTCCTCTTTCCGTTTCTTAAAGATAGGTACTATATTTGCCCTTTTCCAGTTGTCCGGGACCTCCCCTGATTGCCACAGAGATAATGGCTAGCAGCTCTGCAGTCACATCAGCCGACTTCCTGAGCACCCTTGGATGCATTGCATCCAGCCCCAGCCCCATGGACTTGTACATGTCCAGATTTTCTAAATAGTCCCTAATCTGTTTTCACCTTTGTTGGCTGCTCACGTTTTTCCCAAACTGCTGCCTGGTGCAGTAGTCTAGGAGCTGAGCTTGCCTGTGAAGACCCAAGTAAAAAAGGCACTGATTATTTCAGCCTTTTCCTCATCTGTCACTAGGTTGCTGCCCCCATTCAGTAAGGGACCCACACTTTCCCTGATCTTTGCTGACATGCTTGTAGAAACCCTTCTTGTTACCCTTTATGTCCCTTGTTAGCTGCAACTCCAATTGCACTTTGGCTTTCCAGACTTGATCTCTGCATGCCTTAGCAATATTCTTATTCTCCTCCCATGTTTTGTCAACGTTTCCATTTCTTGTAAG